ATATTTATATTATATATTTTACAAATATAAAATACAAAATACCCAGCAAAAAAGTGATTTCGCTAACGCAGTATGTAGTGTGACTACTAATGCTATAACTCAATCTACATAGCAAGTGCTTCACTTTCGAGTTGCCAGCATTCAAAGGGTTAAAGTCGCTCCATAGAATCTTTCTGTTCTTTCCTTTAAACTACGTCTGCTGCGTATTCGAACAATAAGACCTCAGATGAAGAAAGCATGTTGCCAAAAAAAAAAAAAAAAATATGATATAAAAGAGAGTAAGTCGTCGATTTACATGTAAAAGCCAGGTATTAGGTCGTTCGGAAAGTTTCGTCGAATCTCGTCGTCTGAATTTAAGTAACCACAACTCCGCTAAAAGTGAACATATTTATTCAAAATAAGAACCTTTGCCAACGATGTCACTAATTTATTTATGCCGTCTACGAAACGTCGGCAAGACAAAGAAAATGGATAAGCGGGTTCCATTCCATTTGCTCGTCCAATATCCTGCGGAACATTAAAGACCCTTTTCTTGACAGAATTGTTACCCACGACGAAAATTGGGTGCATTATGATAATCGGAAAAGATGTGGGCAGTGGTTGGATCTTGAAGCACCATCTCGACACTTTTCAAACTCTAAAGCACGTCTGAAAAAGATAATGCTATCTATTGGATGGTCTATTGGCGGGATTATTCAGCATAATTTTTTGCAAAAGAAAGAAACGATTACGTCAAATAAGTACTGCGATGAACTTAGTGAAAACAAGTTTCGAATCCAGCACTAGTCGACAGAAAGGGTCTAATTATTTTGCATGATAACGCCTAACCGCATGTATGATTAATTGAGGAGCTTTCTGAAGGAGAGACCTATAGGTCTATGGATCCGTTTAGAAATCTTCCCTCCAAATTTCGTTTCAATATTCCATCAACAAGGTCAGAGCAGCACTTTTTATTGAACCGTATACGGTTATCTGTAGGTCAAATTAAAACTTCCAATGAAATTTACTCAATTCACTATTTTGTCTTATAGGCCTTTTTTTCAGGAAATTCCTCAATTGCAGTACAAAAGTTAAACAACTTTGGATATGAGAGTCTCCAACAGCCACTCTATTTTCCGGACCTTTCGCTAACAGCTTATCATTTGTTCAAATATTTTCACCATTTTATCAAGGAGAAAGCATTTCGAAATGAACGCGATGTGGAACTGACCTTCGTAGAATTTGTTGATTCCAGATCTCGCAGCTTTTTTGTAGATGGCTTAAATGAATTAACGAAACGTTGGAAAATGCGTGTTTATTGTAATGGTTTTTATTTTAAGTAAATATGTTAACTTCTGGTGGAGTTAGGATTATGTGAATACAGACGTCGAAATCCGACAGAAATTTCCGAATGACCCAATATTACGAAATTGAAAATTGACCTTTGCCCTTTTTTGCTTCATTTCGAAATTTCGAAATTTTCCATGCGAAAGAAATTCAATTGAAAGTTTCTGTTTTACTCGACATAGGTCTAGAATAAACATCCTTATAATTATTATATGATGACTGGTGTATCACCAGTAACAGGGTAATTTCACCAGAAAGTGAAAACGAACATTTTTTGACTTAGTGTGTTCTACCAGTATACGCACGACATTAGGACTAGAAGTAAAACAAAGGTCGCATGACAAAACCAGATAGGTCCATTATTCGCCTATAACGTTGACCCGACCAACCACCAAATACATATACAGAACCCTCAGTAGGGTTCATTGATGTGAAAAAGCGACGGAGGAGAAATGACCACGAGCGGGCAATACATTTGGCCCTTACTATACAGGGTGCGGTCGAAAGTTATGTACATACTAGCCGGCACGAGGTAATTCTTTTTGAAAAAAACAAAAAAAAAAAGAAACAATAAAATGTTTTCATCCGAGTTTGAAAATCCGCTGGGTACGTTTTCACGAGGGCACCAGTGTCAACAATTTTCCCATGGAAATAATAAAATATTGTTAAAAAAAAATTCTCCTCAATGGAAATAATAAAATATTGAGGCGTTACACGCCGCACAACAGATACCCAAACTTGACTTTCTCGAAAACTAAGCCCCGGATGAAAAAATTTGATTCCATACATTTCTTTTCATAAGAAAAGTGCTCGCTTATACATAACTTTCAATCCACCCCGTATAATACAATTTCTCAATTATTTAAATAATCATGGAACAGGGTCCGAATTTAGTTATCCAATTACTCGAACCAAAACTTCACTTGCAATAATCCTCCAGCATACTCAGATATTCACACGTAAAACGTTCTATCGTACGGTACCATCGAACAAACTCCGCTGAAATAGGTTAGGGCCGAGGGTTGCCCATATCTATGTAGTCTAGGTACTGTCTTCAATACCAACAGTAGATAACAATAGTAGAGCTTTATACCAAAGCACTATATTATGAATAAACGAAATATGAAGTAGCAACTTGTTTTAATTCATTTAATATTAACGCTTTACCGACCGGTAGCCTATTAATCGGTCAAAGTTTGATTTAACATTTCTATAGGTATAAGAAAAAGCGCATATATTCCCGCGCGATAGCCTAGAGTCTAAACAGAGCCGGTGTCAGCGACGTATCTATGGCCGAGTGAGCGGTCGGTAAAATAATTTGGCCCGGCTCTTGACTCGGACACAGAATGATAATTTGGCCCCCGAACTAGGAAAGGTTGCCCATGTCTGACTTAGACCTACCGATAATTAATCCCAAGTACTATCATCTAAATTGACCTAATCCTGATATGACCTAAATCCTACGATAACGGCGACAAAGGCAAACTTGGAGAACTTACCTGTTTTCGTAGCGAACGAAACGTCCTTGGGATGATTAGTCTTGATGGCGTTCATTCGTCTGTTCTGGGGTCCCTGGCCGCCAGTGCAGCCAACTCCGGGTGTTTGTCCGAGGCCAGGAGGTAGACCGCCGGTCCCCGATGTCGGTCCACCCGACTGCATGTGCTGCTGGGTGCATCCCGGTGGCCCCGTAGTGCCTGATACCCCGGTCATTCCCAACGGTGCGCCAAGAGCTCGAACTCTCGGCTGCTCGACCGGTAGTACGCGGCGTCTCTTCTTCGGTAGTTTGGCTCGCGCCTGCGTGTGACTGTAATACATCGCAAAGTTGCTGACGATCACGGGCACCGGCAGGGCGATCGTGAGGACACCGGCAAGGGCGCATAGCGCGCCGACGAACATCCCGACGTAGGTTTTCGGCACCATGTCACCGTAACCGACTGTGGTCATAGTGACCAGGGCCCACCATAGGCCCAACGGTATGCTCTTGAAATCGTTCTTCGGGTTGTACTGTGTGCGCTCGGCGTAGTAGACCAAACTGGCGAAGATCACAATGCCAAGGACCAGGAAGAATACGAGGAGGGTTAGCTCCTTCGCGGAGGCGCGGAATGTCTGGATAAGGATCTTCAGTCCGGACGAGTGACGTGTCAGTTTGAACAGTCTCATGATACGTATGATACTGAGAAACTCGAGGATGTCGGCGTTCTCCAGATGCGAGGCGAAACGTTGTAACGCCAGATCGAGGTAGAAGCTCAATGTGGCGACCATGTCGATCAAATTTACCGAGCTCTTGATGAACACGCAGCGATTCGGGCTCGCGGTAATCCGTATTAGGAACTCGAGTGTAAACCAGGCGTTGCACACGCACTCGATGTAGAAAAAGAAGTCGTGAGCGTTCGTGTGCGTTTTGTCCACCGCCCAGGAGCTTACGTTGCCCATGTTCACCGACCGGTTCACGATCACCGGCACACGCATGTCCGGATGCGTCTTCAGGCAGAATGACAAGATCGAGATGCAGATGAACAGGACCGAGACTATGCTGATCACCTGCGGAACATTCGGGACATTCGATTAGAGTACGCGCTTTTTCTTTTAAAGGTGTTTTTTTTTTTTAAGTTTTTGGCGATAACTGTGGCATTGTTAAAGTTGGTCGCGGGCCAACAGCTTTGCGTTCTTTTTCTTGTTTTCGAGAATTGTTTTCAACGTAGATTTTGAAATGGAAACAACGTTTTCTTACAGGTAATGGTATAATCCTTGTTTCAAATCATTTTTACCCCCACTGAAGATTTAATTTTCGTTCGAATTTTAATTTCGAGTACGCTTTGAGTATTTATTTACAATTGTATTTATACTGTTACTGTAGTTGACCATTTATTTAGTACGGTATAGAATATTTAAATTAACATTTTAATATTATGATGAATTTTGATAATATGAATAATGAATTTGTTCGATTTTGAAAACAGTGTATACATTATGTATAACGTATAAAATTATACTGCATGATACATTTTCTGTCACTTCAGCGCTCTTCATAAAACGATAATGTAAAAATATTTTCTGTGCATGTAGATAATTACAATATACATATACAATATTATATATACAGTGTGTCTGAGTTAACTGAAAATAGTTAAAACACTTTTTTCATAAATTACGTACAGCGTATATACATATGTACATAAATAGTTGCTCCGCAGGTAGAGTGATTGGGGAATATTACAAGATCAACTTGATTTTTTTAAACGGAATGATACTTATATACAGGGTGGTGCAAAAATATTGTCCATCTGGAATGTTTCCGTTATTTGTAACAATATGGAAAAATGTTACATGCAAAATTTGCATGATATGCAGGAGGACATAATGTAATATGAGTACCTTCTACGTGAGTGGAGGCGTAGAGGATATTTCAAGGTCATCTCTATTTTTTTTTTAAATGTGTGGTGTTATTATGTCACATTATGTTTCCATCCATATCATACAAATTTCGTATACATATAACATTTTTCCATATTGTTACAAATAACGGAAATATTTCACGTGGACAAAGTTTTTGTCCCACCCTGTATACATGTACATCATTCATCTTAAATGTATACCAATTATTATTTAATGCTGCGTTTTATCGTGCAAAATCGCAAATTTTTACAAATTTAAATCACATTCGTGATGTGAGAAAACAAATAAAACAAATTCAGAAATGCAATTATTGTAATTCTGTTAAATATACTTCATTTTATTTTCGTTGCCATATTTCAATATATCTTTCTAATACAGGAAAAATATTCTCATTTACTGCCATTACAATTTTTCTCTTTATAAATAAAACAAATAGTTTTACAGATAGTGACAAATAATTATTCTGTACCAGCAACAATAGAATTGAAATTTCCACGAAAGTAGGTATGCCGAATAAAATTCTAAGAAATGCAACGTAGATAATAAACTTCGATCGGTAGCGGAAATATAACGGGGAATCTAAAGTATAAAAAAATTGGCCTGAATTTCCGATGTTATTCGCGAAAGAGCCATCAATACGTAACTGTAATCTCCGAGTAACGCTTCGTTATGTGTGTTTAGTACGTAGACAAAGTTACAAGAAATCTGAATAGGTCGTAAAATCTCGCGAAGGATCACGTTGAACCGTAAAACCAGAATTATCATGAGGATTGCCGACACGGGGTTAACGCTTCGCTAACTTTCATGGGAAATCCTGTTACCGTGGTTTCAAAGAGCTTCGTTCCTAGTAACGACGTTAAAAGTTAGGTGCTGCTACGTGATCAGTCCGTTCTTATCTTTGCGAATCGATCTCTTTCAAAAGATACCTCACAGGATATCCATGAACCGTGCAACGCATATACGGTGGTGCGCAAAAGTCTCTAGTTACATTGTCCTAGTAACTTTCCGATACGTGAGTCTAGTAACTTTCTAAAATAAATAAGCGCATGCGTAATAATAAATAGCATACACTTGTTGTGTTATTTTCCTTCGTGAAGAAATTGTGAAATAAAAAATGAAAAGTCTGTTTGGATAGTATTGCACGTCATTTAGTTCAGCTTTATGCCTTCGTACTTTCACCAGTGTGTACGAGATTTATATTCGTGACTGGTTTTTACGTCTGGTAACGGTTTACAGAGGCCAGTTGCAGATGTCCGATTATGCTGCAAAATAAAACTCTACGATGTCATGACTGATGAGAAAATTCAGGTTAGGTTAAGCCGTTATGCTCAGCGTACAATTTAGTCGGTTATTGGAACACATTCTCAGCTGAGTGTGTTAATACTCGTTTAGTTATAATTTGAAATTTAAGTGACGATGAGAAATTATTCTCATTTGGTTTCCATCATGGTGAAAAAATGCAAAAATAGCAAAAATGAAGCATGGCCTAGTCAACAATTACGTATTAAATTTCTTGTTTGAACAGCGTTTTCAGTTTTTGGTGTGACATTTCGTAAAGAAGTCTTTTGGCTGTGGCTAGATTGGCCGTTTACTTAATCTTACATTTTATAACTGTAAGCGAAATAAACAAATTGTAGTAATATTTCTGAAATATTCACAGTATTCTCTCAATTTGATACAGTTTTTACTAATTTCCTAAACAAACTTTCAATTTTCATTGCTTCATAAATGTGATCTATAAAAGACACAAAAAATAAAAGTAACACTGCACATTCTAAATGTTTGCAGTTTTTACACATAATTTGAAATTTAGTAACTAATAATTTTGAGAATATTTAGGTAGACTGATTTAACTGGAACATTCTGCATAATTTCTTTACATAACAAACGAAATGTTTATTCGAAATTTCCAAGGTTACAGTGCACTATAAAAATGATAGTATACCGGGTGAACCGCATAATCTGATCACTAGACTGCGGATTTTTGTGCATTTATGGAAAATTTGAGGACGCAAAAATTCACGGAATGTATGTAAATAAACCCAAAATATGGTAGTCGCTGTAACATATAGCGAATAACATAATTGCCTATCTAGCTTCTATTTTTTAAATTATACTCGTAAAAATATGAATTTGCATAAAAATCCGTAGTCTAGTGATCACCTTGAGTTATCCTCTCGTTTTTCAACGTCAGCTTCAGTTTTTTATGGATGAACCCAAAATCTCTTTTACGAATGTTCAAACAATGTTCAAAATGGCGCCCTTCAGTTATTATAAATATTTCTTTCCATGACATCTGTATTTATATTTTCAAAAAAATTGAAGGTGACTGTAAATGCTTCAAAGAAAGAAAAAAAAAAACAACTAATAGAAAGTATACTATAGTCATCTTGAGGAACTCATATTATGCAACAGAAAAAAATCGAGATCGGTCCACAGACGACAGAATAATTTAAGGTGATCACGTTACGCGGTTCACCCGGTATATGGATATTTCACTCTATATCAGCATTTCTGTCCTTTATAATCACCGTGTTCTTGGAAGCGAACTAACAGCGCATTGTAATAATTTTATGTCAACTTCATGGGCAGGATAATAGGACGAGAAGTAAAAAATGATAATACTTGAAAGAGATCACGTGGAGGACATACGTAAGACGAGATGAAACGAAAATAAAGTCGGAAGGAAAATAATACGAAAAGTAAATTCCAGCTACCTATTCAAAGATTTACTTTAATCACTTCTTTATTGTCGATTTAATTCCCCTTTTCATCGTAAATGGTATTAACAATTGACAAAGACAGAAGAACGAAAGAAACGATAAGAGACTATATTAATTAGCGAGTTATCTGTGAATTAGTAAATCAAAATTTATACGTACTGAAGTAAATGGAGAAATATATTTAATGTATCATAAAGAAAGGTATATTAAATAAGGTTGTACATCGATTACAATGTTTATGTGCTTAGAAATCTTTACTTATCTAATTTTCTATGGTATACAAGAAAAAGATTTATCGTCTCAACAAACACCTGCTTTATTTTAGTAACGATGAAACTAATATTTATTTGCAACAAGTTAGAAATTCCAAATGTAAAATGATCGATTAGAAATTTAGCGCAATTTGCAGTTTTGTGTTTCAGTTATTTTACATACCTACTTTGCATTCATTTGTAATACAATTTATGTTACAAAAAAATTATATAAAAAGTTCTAGAATCGAATATTTCTGTAAAAAAGCAAATGTTACATGGGCAGAGGAAAATATTCGTGTATAGTATAAAATGCATCGTCCTTCTTTTCATAAAAGCAAAATAAACAGAGTAATAATTTGACGGTTTCTTTTACGTGAAAGATATGCTAATTTCGCTGCTTTTGTAGAATGTATTGTACATTTGAAACTCGGTAGAAGTTATTATCGAGAACAACTTTTTCATTAAACGTAAGCTTGTTTTGCAACGAAGTCATGTCGTCTCGACAGTCACGTACGACAATTGAAACTTTTCAGTTTGATCCACTTCTTTGTCATAATCAGCAGCAGAGTTAAATACGTAAAAGTTGGTTTTACGAAAGAGCTAGAAAATATCTCAATGTAGTTTTACTTTATTAGCTGCGTTATCTACTACAGAGTATCATGAATATGTTAATATTTGACGCTTTTTAAATACCTGTGAAATCTTTTTTTTTTTATTAATAAGCTCGTTAAACTTGTGTAAATATTTAATGTTTAATATTGTGTAATACTTATTTTACATTATTTGAATTTTATGTACGAATTCTATAAAGAAAATAAAAGCAACTTTTCAGCATCTTTAGCAGTGTATTTACTTATTATATACGTACTCTTTGTAGTTTACCATGGGGGAAGCAACTAACTAAGAACTTTTTACTTGAAATTTGATTCAGTAGCTAGATATTTATGTGCTTGTTATTGTGCTATTTATTTACACAGATAACTAGTAAACTAAAAATTTTAATACGATATTACTTTGTAATGTATAATACATATTAAAAAATCTGTGAAGAAACACGTTTTTCAGTTGTATATGCAAATAAACGAATGCTTTTGTGTAACACTCTTAACCTTAAAGCTTATTAACTAAGAATAAGTTTTATTGCATATTCAAAATCTTGATATGACAATAAAATCTAAGTAGCTTTCTCCTATTTATTGTAAAAACAGCAGATAATTTGCTTCATACAGAGTGTTCGATTATTCTTGGGAGAAAATTTAAGATGTGATTCTAGAAGCCGATACAAGACGAAAATCAAGAATAAAAAAATTGCATTTGAGGCTTCGTTTTTTAGTTATTAGCGTTTAAAAATATCCCCGTAGTCGAGCAAACCTCCTTGCATCAAGGAATATAGGGCGCGTTGAGACACAGGGGTACAGTGATCCTCAAAACCAATGACTGGCACCTTACGTACGCCGTAAACGGCATTGCCAACTTCTGCAGCACTATCTTTTGCTTCACCTCGATACAGATGCATGTCGGAAAATTTTTCAAATGGGTATTCCATTGTGTACTGCAAACACAACGTATACTATGCACATAAAAAGCACAATACACGCAAATCACTGAAAAACAATCACTATGTACTACACTATTCACATGCACACGTTCACGCACGAAATGAAAACTAAAAGAACAAAGAAAACTGGAACAACTAGAGAAAAGTAAATTAAACCTATATTAAAAAATACGCTAAAATGTAATAAATTAAATTTACCGATTATATCGAACTAAAACTAATTATCTTATTACTTGTATGATTTGAAGAAAGAGATGGAAATAAGTGTGTGTTTGCTCATCGTGTCGAGTAGCTCTTCAAAAGTTTCGCTTTCATTGTCGAAATGATTTTGTCCTTCCAAAGCTTCCACCGTTAACCTTCCAACATTCTTTAGACACATGTGGTGAACACCGTTTCCATTTTCTATATTGTCGTACCCTTGTTTCAAAGCGTGCTTCCAGATATTGAGACTGTTCCTTGTCAATTTCGAACTAGGAAACAAAGGCACTGGCGAAGAAAGTTGGATGTCGTAAATTTTGCTTTCTGAATAAACATTCAACTACCACCATGTTATGTTTCAGCCAATTGGAGGGTATTTTCCTCGTGAGCAAGCCAATCCCGTCTTTTCTGATTTTTGTAAAAGGGTAGAACCGCTTTGGAAGGACAGAATCATTTCGAGAACGAAAGCAAAACTCTTGAAGAGCTACTCAACGCGATAAGCGAACACACGCTCATTTTCGTCCCTTTCTTCAAATCGTAGAAGTTATGAGTTAATTAATTTTAATTTGGTAGAATCAGTATACTTTTAATATAGGTTTAATTTACTTTTCTCTAGTTTCTTCAGTTTTCTTTGTTTTTTTTTAGATTCCCTTTCATGCGTGAGCGTATGTATGTGAATATTGTAGTGTACAGCGATTGTTTTTCAGTGTTTCGCATGTATTGTGTCTGTTATGTGCATTTTCCGACATGCGCCTGTGTCGTGGTGAAGCAAACGGTAGTGCCACAGAAGTCGATAATGTCGTTTACGGCGCTGAATGTCGCTGCCTTTTTCTCTACGACTTGTACGAAGTAAGGAGCCGGCCATGTGTCGTTGGTTTTGAGGATCACTGTATCCCCTGTATCTTGACATGCCC